TCGTACACTCGAAGCTTGGTGCCGTCAAAAGAAATACATCGCCAGTGATTACTGCAATTTTCTCCAATAATTTGTAAACTTTTGTCGTTACAACTTGCTTCAATTATATGAGGATATAAAATATCTTTTTTTAATAACTAGAACGCACATGCAAATCGTTCTGGGAAAAGATATTTTTAGAAACAACTAACAGACGAATAAATCGTCTCTGATATAAAATATCTTTTTTTAATAACCAGAACGCACATGCAAATCGTTCTGGGAGAAGATATTTTAGAAGCAACTAACAGACGAATAAATCGTCTCTGATATAAAATATCTTTTTTTAATAACCAGAACGCACATGCAAATCGTTCTGGGAGATATTTTTAAAGCAACTAACAGACGAATAAATCGTCTCTGATATATAATATCTTTTTTTAATAACCAGAACGCACATGCAAATCGTTCTGGGAGAAGATATTTTTAAAGCAACTAACAGACGAATGGATCGTCTTTGGTATAAAATATCTTTTTTTGTTACTACTGCAACTTTATAACTATTATTATTACTATTGTATTATTGTAACTACTACTTATTATTACTGTTTCAATTTGAACGAGATATAAAAACTTGATGTATGGACGCGCTCCGAATTTGGTGCGCGAAGGAAGTAGCAAGTTAGGCCAGTGCCGAATCAAAAAATCATTGAACATTCGAGTTTAACACATTTACAAAAGTATTTATTACTTCACATCGTACACGTTAAACAAAAAAAAAATGAAACCGTAAACAAAGTTATTTCATTATTCTCTTCACAACAATGCGAGTATAATACACTGAGTATGCATAAGTCGATCACACTTGTTATTCATGATCATAATTTCGAGTCTGAAATTCGAAGGAATTTTCGATAACCTTTATTCGTCGTACACATAGAATGTTTTTTCGCACTTGTTTGTTCATCGACTATGTTTGATTTGAAGGACACTGCTGGTCTGTATGCGCAGAATATCCTCCTACACAAATATTAAATTTCCTTTAATTGTTCTTACATACGATTTAATAATCGTCATGTGCGAAAGAAAAAAAATGAGATTAATTTCACTGACACGTGAACTTGCTTAAGTGTGGGACACTTATGTACGGTCACTGACATGTGAACCGAGAGCTGATTGAGAGTGATCATTAGGAACTATACAGTTCGTATTTAAACAATGAGTTGCGCCCTGTTTGATAGCGCGATGCCTCGTTTTTATTGCCGGACTATTCGCGGCAATCTAATTGTATGCACAACACTCCGCGTAACTCAGTACTCGCACACAGTAATAGTCTTAGGTTTTGATTTATATCATTTAATCCGACTTGATTAATAATGATTTTCAATTGAAGAGTGCGCTTACTTATGTCGACTTTACTCTTGGAGAGACTCTCAACGACTGACTTCGCTTATGCTGCCGAAAAACCCAAAGGAATTTTGTTTTCGTGGCTTGCTACTTCTCACGTGTATTCTGCGTGATTGGTGAGAACAATAGCCATAAATACGCTTGCCGGGAGGTGCTGCCTCTCTGGCTTCATGCGAGTTATTATTGCTTCGATTATCGATGCTGTCACGAAATCGATTGAATCCGTAACAATTACTATAATATTTCTACTACTAACAACTATTTAAAATAAGCAAGAGACTGCATTATTTTTCAGAAATTGTTACTTTTAGAAAATATGTATACATATATTATGTAAAAAAAAATTTATAACAATTGAACCCCATAAATATTGAATAAGAATGAAGGAGGTGTCATTAGAATATCGCAAAAAATTTATAGATGGAGAAAATCTTGCAAATTTTAAAATCATCTATATTTTTCGAATGATCTCAATACAAAGTTTCACTGTGGATATCACGTTGCAGGACATCCTGCGTATATATACACATACATACATACATTCATATATACATATATGTATATATATATACAGGGTGTCCCATAATTCGCGAACCACCGCGAATGGGCAGATAGAGCGTGTTGAATTGAATAGAAAAGTCCTGTATCATTTTGCGATATTCGCAATAATTATTAAGTTATTTATTAAAATATCTAAACGAATAAGCAGGTAGAAAGCATTATTTGATCGAGAGGCGGCGTCATGCAGCAAGCGGCGACCAATGTAGTGGCGCCGAAAAGTAAGATGATACTTTTGATACTAAGCGGCATATAACAAATAAGTCATCCGACATGCACACCGAGTCCGGCCTACCGCTTTCTACCCGCTCATTCGTTTAGATATTTTAGTTAATAACTCAATAATTATTGCGAATATCGCAAAATGATACAGGACTTTTCTATTCAGTTTAACACGCTCTATCTGCCCATTCTCGGTGGTTCGCGAATTATGGGACACCCTGTATATGAATGTATGTATGTATGTATGTGTATATATACGCAGGATGTCCTGCAACGTGATATCCACAGTGAAACTTTGTATTCTTGAGATCATTCAAAAAATAAAGATGATTTTAAAATTTGCAAGATTTTCTTTATCTATAAATTTTTTGCGATATTCTAATGATACGCCCTTTATTCTTATATATATATATATATATATATACACACACGCACGCACGCACGCACGCACGCACCCACACACACACACACACACACACACACACACACACACACACACACACACACACACACACACATATATATTGTTACGTCCGCGACCACCCTTCGGATTATCTCGAAGAAATGTCGCGCGCACTCACACTCTCACACGCCGGAAATGAATACACTCGCGTAATAAAGCAATAAACTTTAATATTAGAAGCCAATAAACCGTAGCGATACAATATAATATTACGTGCATTAATCCTAATGCAAATATATCCGCCGATCAGCTGTCAGAGGATACGTCCTCACCGCACGACAGCTAGACCAGAACAAAACGCATCGATAGACATAAACAGCTTCTTAGCGACGATAGAAGATCCTGATAGAAGACCCTGATAGAAGACCCTGATAGAAGACCCTGATAGAAGATCCTAATAGAAAATCCTGACGATCGTATAATACAGGGATGTATCGTCAAACCGGGCGGGACACGGACATAACAATATATATATACACAGGGTATCCCAAAAAGATCGGAACACTGAAAAATCTCGAAAAGTATACGTTTTACAGAAAAAAGTTTTAGACAAAAGTTATAAAAAATCTATTCATTGATCTGATCAGTTTGACCTTGGACAGTGTTACCAAGGTCAGAATAAGGTTACCTTAAATTTCTTAGATGGAATCCTATATTTTTTATTACATATTCTTGTAGCTTATCTCGAGGGCTTTCCAAAACACTATAATAAAATTATTTTTCATAAAGTGCTCTTTGAGTTATAAAGGTTAGAAGCTAACAATTTTTTGACATAAAATATATCTTTATAAAATATTCCATTTTCGATAATCATACCTACTTTTTTGCACAGTATAATAAAAAATCAATTTATTAAAGAAAACAGATAATTGAATATGTAATATTCAATATGCAGCAGCATACTTTTTTTTATAAGCAACTATGTGTTTTTTTACACCAATTCATTGGTCTCATTATTCCGTGCAAAAAAGATATGATTACCGAAAATGGAATATTTTACAAAGATATTTTACATTTTATGTCAAAAAATTGTTAGCCTTTATAAATCAAAGAGTACTCCATAAAAAATAATTTTATTAGTGTTTTGGAAAACTCTCCAGATAAGCTACAAGAATATGTAATAAAAATTATAGGATTCCATCTAAAAAATTCAAAGTGACCTTATTCTGACCTTGGTAACGCCGTCCAAGGTCAAACTGATAAGATCAATAAATACATTTTTTATAACTTTTGTCTGAAACTTTTTTCTGTAAAACGTATACTTTTCGAGATTTTTTAGTGTTCCGATTCTTTTTGGGACACTCTGTGTATGTATTGTATATATATATATATATATATATATATATATATATATATATATACACATACCTATTGATTTATTTAGCAATCTGTCTATCTATCGAACTATCTATCATCTATCGATTAACCTATCTATCTATCTATCTATCGATCTATCTGTCTCTTCTCTCTTTTCTACATTGCATTCTTTTATATATGCACACGTGTATAATAATTTTTTAAAAATATTGTACATTACAAAAGTAAACATAATTAAATTTATAATCTAAAAATATATAAAAATTTTTTATGAATATAATGATTACAAAGATTTAGTAGATAATTTTTTGTAATAAATAAATTATTTATATGATTTAGTCTTATCTAACTACTGCTCTGTTTTGATAATAATAGCATTATTATGTATTCAATCTCTAAAATACTTTTATATAAATCATTTATTACAAAGAATTATTTACTTTATAATCAATTACAATTATTATAGATAGGCCTGTTTATACACATACACACACTTACACACAATATATATGTGTCAGAAATATTATAATTTATCTTCATGTAGAGAGAAAAAAAGGAATATGACTAACAAATAGGAATGAAAGAAAATAGAACAATCAAGCAGGGGGAGAGAGATATATATATATATATATAGAGGTGCATTTAAATAAAACCTAAGAAAATGAGAGAAAGAGAGAGAGAGAGAGAGAGAGAGAATGTTATATTTTTATTATAAAATACAGATGTATATATGTAAAAAACTTATTTATTTTCATATAGAGAAAGGACAAGAAAAGTGACAGTGACATAATTGCAAATAAAAAAATATAATAACGAGCAAAACAGAAAGAGAAAGAAGAGAGGATATATAAATAAATAAATATAAGAATACAATAAAACTTTTACTTTATTTAGAAATATATATATCTATATATATATTTATATATATAAAATATATATATATGTTTGTGTTTGTATACATTTCTTTTTATATTTTTATAAATTAATATTATATATAAATATCATACATAATATTATATATCAAACTTAAAGTTATATATTTTATCAAATAATTATAAATTAATATTAAATCAAAATCAAAGTAAAAAATCAAAATCGAGAGTGTAGGAGAGAGCCACACCAGAATTATAGCAAATTTATTTGATTTTCTGTGTAGTCACATTCTATTGTCACATCGAATTATATGTGATAAACGTTTCGATGTTTAGATCATCTTCAATATTGGTAAGAAATCAAGTGATAACTTTGAAATTTTGACAGATGTGTGATTTGAAAACTTATCGCATGGTTGGCTAAATACTGTATTCAATCATACAATAAGTTTTCAAATCGCACATCCGTCACAATTTCAAAGTTATTACTTGACTTTTTACCAATACTGAAGATGATCTAAACATCGAAACGTTTATCACGTATAATTCGATGTGACAATAGAAATTCATTAATGTGACTACACAGAAAATCAAATAAATTTTCTTGCATGGTTCCTAATCCCCTACACTCTTTTTATTATATATTATTATATGTATCCTGGCGCGGGCGCATATCCGGGTGGTGCCGGCCCGTATCTAACTTGTGTAGGTGGTGCAGGCGGTCCTGATGGTGCGGGCATATATCCATATGATACCAACCCGTATCCTAATTGTCCTGATGGGGCGGACGATGCAGGTGGTGTGGATGATGCGGGCACATATCCATACAGTGCCGGCCCGTATCCTAATTGTACTGATGGTGCAGGCGGTGCGGGTGGTGCGGGCACATATCTATACGGTGCCGGCTCGTATCCAACTTGTGTAGGTAGTACGGGCGGTGCGGATGGTGCGGGCACATATCCATATGGTGCCGGCCCGTATCCTAATTGTGTTGATGGGGCGAGCGGTGCGGATGGTGCGGGTATATATACCGATGCTGGCGATGCGGCCATATACAGAGACGGTGCGGGCGATGTGTGCACATATTGTGTTGGCACATATACGGATGATGCAGGCCTGTATCTTGCCTGTATCTTTCGTCGTCTCTCGCGGTTCACCGCCTGTTTTACCGCTGCATTTATACGCTGAAAAAGATAGTTTATGTTAGTTTTTTTACAATTATATATAGTTAGTATGTTAACATTCATATTCCAATTAGACTTTTGTTGCTCGTTTGCATATGTTACATACATGTATGTATATGTGTATGAAAAAACGGGTTACAATGCGGTTTTCGTAGAAATATTCTTTCTTTTATTCCAGTTTTTTATTTAAAACTAGATTTATGAAATAGTAACTGATGTGTGATTCAATATATTATATTATTTGTAAATCACACATAAATATATGCATTGCAGAGAATAATAATATAATAAACTAGGTGTTAGTGTGCGTGCGTGCGTGCGCGCGCGCGCACACACATATATACACATACTGACGCCTAATTCATATTATTATTTGCAATACATATATTTATATGTGCGATTTACAAATGATATAATATATTATATTAACCAAGCATCAGTTACTATTTTATAAATCTAGTTTTAGATAAAATTGGAATAAAAGAAATTATATTTCTACGAAAATCGCATTGTAACACGTTTTTTATACATATATATACCTATGTAACCATGTATGTAAACAAGTAAATTTATTTATTTTTATATATTGATAAAAAAAGTATACAACATTATGGTCGGATTTTATTGACATTATCAGCGTCGCATGAAATATATTCGTATTTTTACTGGATGTTCCAGACTTACCATATCACCTGTATGGGGGATTTCTGAGATTATTTGAAGACGATTTTCCCTCAGCAAAAATGTCGAGGCACTAATAATTTTCGAGTAATAAATGATTAAAAATAATGGCTTTTTTGCAAACTAAGTCTTCTGTGGAAATAAAATAAACAAAACTACATTCTTCAGCTGAAATTATTTTAATAGAATTTCTTAGTTACTAAGTACATGATGACAAAAATTGGGAATAATGACCTTGACATTTTTGCCAAGTAAAAATCATCTCCAAATAATCTCAGGAATCTCCCATAACAGGTGATACGGTAAAAGTCTGGGACACCCTGAATATTTGATCCGCACCAATGTTATGTTGTATACATCTTATTTTCTCTTTAATTAAAAATGCAATTTAAAAAATTAAAAACTACTAACCTTTTTTACTTGCCTCGTTGAGGTTGGTCTTGCCGTCGCCGTTACCGCCGTCGCCGTTACCGCCGTCGCCGTTTCCGCTGTCGCCGTTTCCGCTGTCGCCGTATCTTTATCCATCGACGTCGCCGTTGACACTTTGTTGGACGATGCTATCACTAGCGGTGACGTCGCCGTGGACACTCTCCTGGACGACGCCACCGCTAGGGGTAACGACGACGTTATTGATGGTGATGGTGATGTTGATGGCGATGTCGATGTCGATGCCATCGCCGCCCTCGCCCTCCTTACGGTCGTTGTCGTCGCCCTTGTCGCCTTTGTTACTTCAGGCAAATTGCCTTCGCTTCGAGCTGTAAAAAAAGTATATTAGAAAATATACTATATTTCTACATATTCTCAATTTTTTGTCAACAATCTTTTACAAAAAGAATGAGAATGAGAGAGAACAAGAGAGAAGAAAAAGAGATTATACATTTATCAGCTAATACATTTTTATAATTTATGTTGCGTAATATATACGAGTTCCATAAATTTAACGTATTGAAAATGTATAAAATTAATTTATATATACGTATATATATGTATATATATATTTATATGCATATATATAAGAGAATAAAAGAGATATAAGAAAAAGTACTTACGTCTCGGCATCGTTCAAGTTCAAAATTTTCCGAACACTTCTTTCGCCACACTCCACCGGCACACTCCACAGTCCTACGACAAATGACGATTTTCTTCGACCGATTCCGAGCACGTGCGCTGTTGCCACGTGGTTTACTATCAAAAGCGAGAGCAAGAACGAATGAAGAGGAAGCAAGATGACAAACATCAAAGAGTTCCGAACTCTCTCGCTCGCGAGGGTCTTTATCTATAATCATTCATATCATATATCATGTTACTGTAAAAAATAAAAATTTATGTATTGTAGGCGAATTATTATTCTACCGATATTCATTTATATACACGCGTGAGCGGAGAATTACGTTTCCTCTCCCCCCCCCCTCTGCCGCTGGCGGCGCTGCGTAAGAAAGAAGGGAGAAGGTTAAGAAGGTCAGTTCCCCGCGGAAAGGGAGAGCGGTTGGACAGATATACGGCAGTGAGCCGTCGTGCGTGTCCTATCGAGTACAGTTTAACCTAATAAAGATCCTTTGTTAAGATCCACTAGAAGCCTTATTGGAATTACGCCCTGACATCATCTAAAACTATCCTGACACCACCTACAACTTCAGAAGTGGGATCAAAGAAGAAGTTAGCGAAGGATCTGTGAGGTTAATACACGGGACTTTGAAAAGTACGACCAAGTGTTGTGGTCGATGCAGAGAAAACCGTGTCTTGTGTTACTCGTGCAAAAAGACAGAATATTCCGCGCTGTGTGCCACGAATATTTTGAAGGTTATTCGCGCTGTGTGCCGCGAATCTTTGCTCGTGCTAAAAGACAGAATATTCCGCGCTGTGTGCCACGAATATTTTGAAGGTTATTCGCGCTGTGTGCCGCGAATCTTTGCTCGTGCTAAAAGACAGAATATTCCGCGCTGTGTGCCACGAATATTTTGAAGGTTATTCGCGCTGTGTGCCGCGAATCTTTGCTCGTGCTAAAAGACAGAATATTCCGCGCTGTGTGCCACGAATATTTTGAAGGTTATTCGCGCTGTGTGCCGCGAATCTTTGCTCGTGCTAAAAGACAGAATATTCCGCGCTGTGTGCCACGAATATTTTGAAGGTTATTCGCGCTGTGTGCCGCGAATCTTTGCTGCGTGCTAAAAGACAGAATATTCCGCGCTGTGTGCCACGAATATTTTGACGGTTATTCGCGCTGTGTGCCGCGAATCTTTGCTGCGTGCTAAAAGACAGAATATTCCGCGCTGTGTGCCACGAATATTCGCGCTGTGTGCCGCGAATCTTTGCTGCGTGCTAAAAGACAGAATATTCCGCGCTGTGTGCCACGAATATTTTGACGGTTATTCGCGCTGTGTGCCGCGAATCTTTGCTGCGTGCTAAAAGACAGAATATTCCGCGCTGTGTGCCACGAATATTTTGACGGTTATTCGCGCTGTGTGCCGCGAATCTTTGCTGCGTGCTAAAAGACAGAATATTCCGCGCTGTGTGCCACGAATATTTTGACGGTTATTCGCGCTGTGTGCCGCGAATCTTTGCTGCGTGCAAAAAGACAGAATATTCCGCGCTGTGTGCCACGAATATTTTGATTCGAAAAGACGGACAGAATAACGCTGTGTGCCACGAATATTCCGCGCTGTGACGACGGTAATTCGCGCTGTGTGCCGCGAATCTTTGCTGCGTGCTAATTGTTCCGCCGCGTACGAGAGAAAGCGAGTCCACGTATCGCGCGCGGTGAATCGACGCGTAACGCGATATCCCTGTGAGATAGAATATTCCGCGCTGTGTGTCGCGAATATTTTGACGGTAATTCGCGCTGTGTGCCGCGAATCTTTGCTGCGTGCTAATTGTTCCGCCGCGTACGAGAGGAAGCGAGTCCACGTATCGCGCGCGGTGAATCGACGCGTAACGCGATATCCCTGTGAGATAGAATATTCCGCGCTGTGTGTCGCGAATATTTTGACGGTAATTCGCGCTGTGTACCGCGAATCTTTGCTGTGTGCTAATTGTGCCGACGTGTGTCGCGAACATTTTGACTGAGGTTAAACATTTATTAACACGTCGCTGTGTGCTAGGACGTATAGAAAAGGGAAGTGCAGTGTGTCGCTAACAATGGCGAGACCGCCGAGTGCGTATACGCTTGCCGAGATTAAGGACATTCTCCGCGAGAAGAAGTTGCCGGCGACCGGTAACAAAGCTGACCTGATAGATCGATTGACTGCCAATGACCCGGAGATATGGACCACACTGGATGAACAGAGGTCACGGCAGAGCCGCGGTGTCGATCAGCCGATTGACGCGGGCCATGAATCGAGGGATGCCGTCGCGGGCAAGGACAATGAAAGCCAAGTAAGTAACGACGCATCCGTTGAAGGTCCTTTGACTGAGAATGACTTGATTCGACGAGAAAATGAACTACTTAGAAGAGAACGAGCTCTTCTTCAACGTGAATTAGATATCGTTAGACGAGAGAACATCGAAGATCATGGAGCACCGCAGATGAATGATGGCGGAAGAAGACGTAATGGTCCACCGATGAGCGAAAGTGTAAGGGCTATTCGCGACTTGTTGAGCGAATTCGACGGCAGTGAGGGTACGTTCTGGAAATGGGAACAGCAGGTACAATTGCTGCGAGTGTCGTACGCCTTGGATGATGCTGCGACAAGAATTTTAATAAGCTCTAAATTAAAAGGACGTGCATCCGAGTGGTTTCACTCCAAACCACATCATCTTACCCTTGGTATAGAAAATCTATTGGCGGCCATGAAGGGAATGTTCGACCTTCGTCAATCAAGATTGTCCCTACGCAAGAAGCTCGAAGAGAGAGCATGGCGGACGGACGAATCATTCACGAGTTACTTCCATGATAAAATAATCCTCGCTAATAGGGTACCGATAGTAGATGACGAAGTTGTCGATTATGTCATCGAGGGTATACCTGATCGCAATCTCAGAGATCAAGCACGTATTATGCAGTTCGAGTCTCAGTCGGATTTATTGGAGGCATTTAAAGGATTGACGCTACACCCGAAGAAGTTCCCTGATCGCGAATGGAAGAAACCTATTGATCAAGGAAAAATCCAAAAGGATGGGAAATTGTCGACGAAGGAGAGTTCAGCGTTTAAAGGAAATCCAGCATCGTCGAGTGCAGATTTGACACCACGCCGAAAGATAATTAAATGTTATAACTGCCAGGGAGTTGGACATCTGGCATCCGCATGTTCACACCCGAAGAAAGTTAAGGGAGGCTGTCATCGATGTGGTTCAGCCAGCCACTTGAAAAAAGACTGTCCCGAGAAAGAGTCGAAACCCGAGTCGACGAACGTTGTGAACTTGATCGAACCGATATCCGTTAGCGATCCGTATTGTGTACAGTTAAAGTTTTCGGTGTCCTTTGAAGGGGATGTGGATCGTGAATATACAGTAGACGCGATAGTTGATCCCGGCTCCCCAGTGAGCCTCATAAAAACTGAGTATGTTCCGACGAGTTTGCGCGAACCGCTACCTCCTAACAGCGATTGTTTCTGTGGAGTAAATAAATCCCCTGTTCGCGTAGTAGGCACCTTTTCGAAATTAGTCGAAATCGAAAGAATTAATATTCAGCTACGTTTTCTGGTAGTACCGAACGAAACAATGTCGTGTGCGGCATTACTTGGTCGCGATTTTTGTCGAGATCCGTTAATAAAAATCGAACTAGGTAAAACGGTAAAGATTACTAGGAGAAACGAGTCGACAAGCGAGAACAATTTTGATACCGAGATTATGCAAATAGAATATCTCAAAAATCCTGTAAAAGTTGGAGAAGAATTGAATATTAATCCCGGTGTCGAATCGCATGTAGTCGAAAGCGTTCGAAGATTGTATAACAAAGAATACGTTGATAAATGGGATTCAGATGTGAGCGAACCGGAAACCGAGATGAAAATTTTATTAAAAAATGAACAGCCGATTACCTTCCGGCCTAGGCGTTTAACGTATGCCGATAAAGAAAAGTTGCAAGTAATATTAGACGACTTATTGAAAACAGGTACAATTAGGCAGAGTAATTCACCCTACGCTAGCCCAATCGTTCTCGTGCGGAAGAAAAATGGCGAGTCACGACTGTGTGTCGACTTCCGTGAAATAAATAAGATTACTGTGAAGACAATTTTCCCACACCGTTGATAGATGATCATATTGATCGGTTAAAAGGAAAAAAATATTTTAGTAGTCTCGACTTAAAGAACGGATTTTATCATATTAAGATGTCTGAGTGTTCGGTAAAATACACCTCGTTTGTGACGCCTATCGGACAATTTGAATTCCTACGAATGCCGTTCGGGTTGACTAATGCTCCACGAGTGTTCCAGAGATTCGTCAACAAAGTCTTTGATAAACTCATCCGAGAGAGTAATATCTTGTTATATCTAGATGATATTTTGATAGCGACTGAAAGTATAGAGGAACACCTAAATATTTTGAAAGATGTATTTGAAATAGCGCGACGATACCGGTTGCAGTTTAGACTCGATAAATGTTTCTTTGTTCGAACGGAAATTGTATATCTTGGATATATTTACTTAATACGTTTTGTTCCTATACGTACGACCGAGACGGTCGTAATGTCAGGCTGGCCGACTGTAGGCGAATTATTATTCTACCGATATTCATTTATATACACGCGTGAGCGGCGAATTACGTTTCCTCTCCCCCCCTCTGCCGCTGGCGGCGCTGCGTAAGAAAGAAGGGAGAAGGTTAAGAAGGTCAGTTCCCCGCGGAAAGGGAGAGCGGTTGGACAGATATACGGCAGTGAGCCGTCGTGCGTGTCCTATCGAGTACAGTTTAACCTAATAAAGATCCTTTGTTAAGATCCACTAGAAGCCTTATTGGAATTACGCTTTGACATCATCTAAAACTATCCTGACACCACCTACAGTATTTCGCATTTTATCGATCTAAAAATAATTATAATGGATTAATGAGAATTTTGCGATTAAAATGGCACTAAACACGACATATATCGGATAATTTTTAATTAAATATAGAATTATAATTTGATTCTATATTTAATTAAAAATTATCCAATATATGTCGTGTTTGGTGTCATTTTAATCGCAAAATTCTCATTATA